CCATAATTGCTTTCTGACATTTTTCCTACCCATTTTGTTTTGCAAGACCTGAGCACGAGGAAGATGATTAGAAGTGGGCATGAAGTTAATGGAGTCTACCTTTTTATGTAACTTTAGAGCATGGATTGTCAAGCCAGACTGAGTTTTGTTCTAAGGAGAAAATGGGTCTTTTGCAACTATCGCACTGTCGTCTTGGTCATATGCCTTTTAATTCTATAAAACTTTTGTTTCCAAATTTGTTTAGCTCAATGTCAAACTTCAATCCTAAATGTGAAGTTTGTCATCTATCCAATCAATGTAGAACCACATATTTTGCAAGTAATAGAAGAAACGATATTGCTTTCCATTTGATACATATTGATGTTTGGGGACCATATACTATCCCTTGCATGGATGGGCATAAATCCTCCATTCTCTTCTATTGATGACTACAATAGGTATGCATGGCTCTACATGATGAAAAGCCAGGATGAGATTCCTATGATTGATTAAAACTTCATGAATGGGGTGGAGACACAAGTTGAAAAAAGAGTTAAGATAATAAGATCTGACAATGCCAAGGAATACATTGAGAGCCATTTGTGTGGGTTTCTTGAAGACCTGGGAATTATTCACCAAAGTTAATGTAGTCATACTCCTCAACAAAATGGGGTTGTTGAGAGGAATAATAGACATGTGGCTGAAGTTGCTCGAGGTTTATTGTTCAAAACTCATGTTCCTAGATGTTTCTGGACTGATGCTATCAAGACGGATATATATCTCATTAACCAGCTTCCATTAAGGGCCCTTATCCATCAACTTTTCTCCTCCCTAATGAACATTTCTTTAAATTACCTCTCAAGATCTTTGGTTGTGTTTGTTTTGTTCATGATATGAGTCCTTCCAAACATAAATTGGAGCCTAAATCAATCAAATGTGTATTCTTTGGTTACTCTCCTATCCAGAAAGGCAACATATGTTTTGATCCTCTTTCTAGAAAGATATATGTTTCTAAGGATGTTACCTCTCTAAAGTCATCCTCCTTTTTCCAATCGTCTCGCCCTTCTCTTCAGGGGGAGAATGCAAGTGAATATCAAATTCGCATTTGTCTTCTTGCTTCCATCCCTATACCTCCTCCCTCATCTTATCCTTGTAACAATGGTATTCCTTCCCCTCCTGTGTATCAACCTCAGTCCTAGTAGCAATTCTTCATCAGATGCAGTAAGAGGGTGACTCCTAAAGCTGAATGTCCATCACAATATGATCTCCTAGACTCAACAATCTTCAACCCCTAATAATTCTATTACTGATCCTAATATTGATCTTCAAACCCTCTCACCTTCCTATTGTGCCTATGTTTCTAGTATTTCTTGTAGTGTTACAAAGGCAATGCAGTCCTCTCACTGAAAGGAAGCTATGAACCAAGAGATGGAGTCCTTAATAATTCTATTACTGATCCAAATCCTGATCTTCAACCCTCTCTCACCTTCCTATTGTGCCTATATTTTTGTTATTTCTTCTATTTCCATCCCTCGTAGTGTTACAGAGGAAATTCACTCCCCTCACTAGACTTGGGAGATTATTCCTTGTCCCAAGGATAAGATTCCTGTTGGATGCAAGTGGGTGTACACTGTTAAGCACAAAATAGATGGTTCAATTGAGAGATACAAGGCTTGGCTTGTGGCCAAAGGATACACTCAGACATATGGTATTGATTATCTGGAAAAGTTTGCTCTACTTGCTAAAATGAACTCTATTTGGGTGATCATGTCACTTGCCGCCCACTACCTCACTATCAACATTGTTATTTGTATGGGCTCAAACAATCCCCTAGAGCCTGGTTTGTCAAATTTAGAATGCTATCTTAAAGACTAGATTCTCTAAATCTCAAACAAACCATACCTTCTATATAAGAAGGGTTGATGGTAGAATAACAATGTCGATAGAATATGTTGATGACATTGTCAAACTAGAAATGCTATCTTAAAGATTGGATTCTCTAAATCTCAAGCAAACCATACCTTCTCTCAGTTAAAATCCTTCCTTGCTTCAAAATTTAAGATTAAGGATCTTGGTGATCTCAAATACTTTCTTGGCATTGAATTGCAAGATCCAATAAGGAAATCTTTCTTTCACAGAAGAAGTATGTCTTGACTTGCTCACTGAAGTTGGGAAATTGGGGTGCAAGCTTATAAAAACTCCAATTGATCCTAACCACAAGTTGAGTGTTGCTAAAGGAGAAGTACTTCCAGACAAAGGAATATATCAAAGATGGGTGGGCCATCTCTTGTATCTTTGCCTAACTAGACCTGACATATCGGATGTTGTTGGAGTGGTTAGCCAATATAACCTGTATCTTTGCTTGAGAAGATCTGACATATCTGATGTTGGAGTGATTAGCCAATATATGCATGAATCTTGAGCATATCACATGCAAGTAGTTAATAGAATTTTAGCTTATCTGAAAGGGTGTTTTGGTAAAGGAATGTTGTACTCCAATCATGGTTACCTAAAGATTGAGGCTTACACAAATGTTGACCAAGCAAGGTCCATTGGTGATAGAAGATCTACTTCTAGTTACTATCTTAGTTGGAGGCATTGTGGTTTCCTGGAGAAGTAATAAACAATCAGTCAGTGCCCATTCTAGTGCTAAGGCTGAATATAGGGCAATGGCTCATTAGGTGTTTAAACTACTTTGGTTGAAGATCTTATTAATAGATGTGGGCAAACAAGCTAATACTCCAACAAGGTTGTACTATGACAATCAAGCAACCATAAGCATTGCTCATAACCCTGTTCAACATGATTGTAAAAAACATATTGAGGTAACAACGACTTTATAAGAGAGGATTGCTAGGGGAGAGAATTTGCCTTCCCTTTATAAAGGTGTACACCATCCAAAGTTTGTCAAGAACCTTGTCAAGCTGGGTATGATTGACATAGATGCTTAGTTTGAGAGGGTGTTAAAAAAGAATACTTGTGCAAGGTGTTTTGGTCTTTTCATTAATTGTTTGCATTTGGGCACACACACCTCTCATTTGGTAGTCTCTCTTCTTCTTCTTTTCTTCTTTCTACAAACCATAGACTAACTTTTGGATATCTCTATTAGATATGCCTGAGTAGAGCCAAGTACAACCTCATAATCCAATTTTTTGATCTATAGTGTTAAAGGCAGTTAGCTGTGTCATGTTATGTCATTATCGTTTGAGTCATCTTTCTTTTCCTTCATTAATGCTTTTGTTTCCTACATTATTTGAAGAAGCCAATTTATCAAGTCTACATTGTGAGTCTGTGACTTTTCAAAGCATTGTAGAAACTCTTATCTTGCAAGTAATAAAAGATCCACTTTTCCATCTAACATTGTTAACGTTGATGTGTGGGGGCCTTTCCAGCTATACTTGGCTTTATCTTATGCATTCTCGTGCTTACCCAAGCTTGTTTAATAATTCCCTGAATTTGTGCTTACCCAATTTGACACCTAAATCAAAATACTCCGATCAAACAATAATGCTAAGGAATATTTTGAGAAGTTTGGAGTTGTTCACCAAAGCTCTTGTGCTCATACTCCCAAGCAAAATGGGGTAGCGGAGAGAAAGAACCACCACATTGTAGAAGTTGCTAGAAGCATTCTTTTTGCTTCTCACATCCCTATAAGAATTTGGGGTGATGCAATGATGACAGCTACTTATTAATTATATGCCTTCTAGGGGTTCAAGTCTCCCTTTAGTGTCCTTTTTCCAAACCTTGATGTTTTCTCTATTACCTTACATGTTTTTGGATGCACCTGCTATGTTCATGTTCCTAGTTCCCAAAGACATAAGTTTGAACACAAAGCCAAGAAGTGCATTTTTCTAGGGTCCTAGTAGGGGCACCAGTTTGTTTCAATGGATGTCACTTTTGAAGAGTTTGTCCCTTTTTATAGCCATTCTTCTGAGGGGGAGCCCTTTATTGAGTTGTTTGCTTCTACCCTACCCATACCAACTCTTGTTGAATCTTGTGCTAGTCTTCTTGTGTTCACTACACTTCCTGTTCTTCAAAGGAGGTACCAATGACAAAAACTAAGGCATGCACAACTTGTTCCCTTATCTCTAGGTGAGGCCCCAACACTTACAATCACTAAAGAGAGGACATGTCCAATTTGCTTCTATGGAGGTCACTTTTTGTAGAGTTTGTCCCTTTTTATAGTCATTCTTCTGAGGGGGAGCCCACTATTGAGTTGTTTGTTTCTACCTTACCCATACCAGCTCTTGTTGAATCTTGTGCTAGTCCTCTTGTGTTCACTACACTTCCTGTTCTTCAAAGGTGGTACCAATGACATAGATTAAGACATGCACAACTTGTTCCCCCATCTCTAGGTGAGGCCCCAACACTTCCAATCACTAAAGAGAGGATATTCCTATACAACAATCACTAGTGCCTTCGTTCTCAAACCTTAACCTACCCATTGCATTAAAGAAAGGGTAAAAGGAAATGTACTACTCAATGCATTTCAAAACACCTCTCTTACAATTTGTTGTCCTCTTCCTACTACTCCTTCCTAACTTCCAATTCATCCCAACTTGTTCCTAAGAATGTATTAGAAGCAGTATCTAAGCCAGAATAGAGGGATGCTATGAGGATTGAGATAAAAGCACTTTGTAAGAACAGTACTTGTGATATTGTAGATTTACCTACTAGGAAGGAGCGTGTTGGTTGTAAATGGGTTTACACTATAAAGTATTATCATGTTGATGGTCGGATTGAGAGGTATAAAGCCCACCTTGTTGCCAAGGGCTATTTGTTTTAATCAAAAACTTTGATAAAAGAAAAGTAAAGTAGTGAAAACAAATGAATAAGCTTTTTCATGTTTACCAAATTAAGATGATAGGCTAGAAGAATTAAAGGCCTTCTAAGATGAAAATTCTCATGTTACACAGTACAAGAAGCTGAAAATACGACAAGATTCTGCATTTCCCAAATATCAAACTACTGTAGTGCAATTATAGATGTCTATTACTGACTCCAAGAAGAGCTACACTTACTATTACTGATATTATGAGAATGACTTCCATGTTCTGCTATAAACTTGATGATATTGGTTACTGTCGTATCCCCTTGATAGGGAACAGCATTCTTTACGCCTGCTGGAAATAACATCAATGCTGGATAAATCTCCCTCTGCTTATTTCGACACACATGAAACTAACACAAAAGTTAGATATCCTTTTAATGTCACCAAGTAAATTCATTACTATCAAAAAGCCTGTAAAGAAATATACCAGAAACAAGAGAGAATAAACAAATGATGGGAAAAAGATAACAAAACAAAATAGGAGATTATATCACAATCAAAACTAGCATAGATCCTCCCAACAAAAGATAAAGAAAAACCCAAAAAACATATTATAGCCACAAAATACAACAATATCCAACCTCCAAACTATGAAAAGCACAGAAACAAACAATAGCCATGATACACAACAATATCCCACCTCCAAACTACCACTTACTGCAATCAAAACTTGTTGAGGCCCAAAAGTCTTAAGCTAGAAATAAGAACACTTTAAAATATCCAATAGTTAAGAGACCAATCATATTTTTTTAATCAGTAACTGGTGAAATTTTAGTGAAGAAACGAGAATACATACAAAGGTTACAAGCAATGCAGGCACTACATGTACAATAGGTCCAGCCTATGATGTGCATATAAACCATCATCATCATTATCCAAGCCTTATCCCAACTATATGGGGTTGGCTACATTAATACAAATTATATTTGAATCCAATACACCTGTTTTCTAATCATCCCTTCCTTCGCTAATGCATCTGCCATTCCATTTTCCAATATCCTCTCCCATTGTAGCCTTAAATTCATGTTTCTAGTAAGCCATTTAAATATTTTCATCTCATTCCTATAACACCACATTATGGATTCTAGCTATTTGAGCCATCCCACCACCAATTTAGAGTCTCCTTGAATCACCACATTTATCATGTTCAGTTCATTTGCAATATGTACACCTTGCAATACAACAAGCAATTCAGCTCTAACAAAGTCATCCATACCCACTGGGCCTGAGAACAATGCAATGGCATTGCCTTTTGTATCTCTCATTACCCCTCCTATTCCAGAGGGCCATGGTTACCTTGGCTGCTTCCATCAAAATTTAACTTCACATAACCCTCAATAGACAGGCCATAGTCTACCTACACTCATTTTATCACCTATTGGAGCTGCTCCCAATTTCCAACAAATGACTTCATTTCTGATCTTATCCTCTTTTAGTTTTTCTACTCATCCATCTCAGCATATGCACTTCTGCCACACTCAATTTCTTGACATGTTATTGACTGCCCAACACTACGCTCCATACAACATAGCTGACCTTACAAGCATTTTACAGAATTTTCCTTTTAATCCAAGTGATATTTTCCTATCACATAAAACTCCAGATGCCCATCCTGCTCTAATTCTACGATATTTTCCTATCACAACATATTTTCCTAATTCTATGATATTTTCCTATCACAACATAGCTGACCATACAACCATTTTACAGAATTTTCCTCCTTTTTGCCCATCCTACTCTAATTCTATGGGTGACATCCTCCACAATCCCTCGCTTGTTATAAATTATCAAACCAAGGTACTAAAAGAGGTAACATTGAGTAATCTCTTCGTCTCCAATCACAAGTGTACCCTGAATTGCACTCCCATTGGTATTAAATTTAAATGCCATATATTCTATTTTAGTTCTACTTACTTTTAAAACCTTTTGTTTCTAAGGCATTTGTCTATAAGCTTAATTTTGCATTTAATCAATCATTAGTTTCATCAATTAAAATGATATTATCAGCAAACATTGTGAATCATGGGACCTCCTCCTGAATATGCTTACTCAATTCATCCATGCGTACTTATATAAAAAAAAGTCATCCATGATCGGTGGAAATAAATAAAAGCTATGTGTTGAACCTTTGTAAAGACCCATCATTACTGTAAAATCTAATGTCTGTCCCACACGTGTTCTAACATTGATTGTTGCACTACCATGCATATCCTTAATTAGGTCTATATACTTACTTTGAACCCCTTTCTTTTCCAAGACTCACCATATTATCTCTCTAGGAACTCTATCATATGATTTCTTTAGATCAATGAACACCATATGGAGATCTCTCTTTTCCTCTCTAAACTTTTTTATCAATCTCACCAAGAGAAAGATTAACCTCCATGGTTCATCTCCCTACCATAAACCCAAATTGGTTAATATACTTGTTTAATGATGTACACTTTAATCAATTATTGTCTCCCAATGTTTCATAGTGCAACTCATGAGCTTGATCGTCTGATAGTTATTACAACTTTGTATATCACCTTTATTCTTAAATATAGAACCATACTACTCTGTCCAATCGTCAGACACCTTATTTTCTTATAGTATCCCATTGAAAAGCTTAGCTACCCATAATAAGCCTTACCTTGTCCATCCCTTTCTATACTTCTATTGAAATCTCATCAGTCCTAACGTTTTTCCTTATTTTATTCAGTGCTTCTTTCACTTTAGTTGTACTAATTTTACAAAGGTATATATTATTTTCAACAATATTTGTATTACTAGTCTCTCCTCCATTAGCATCCTCTACATGTAATTCATTTAATAACTTTTCAAAATAGTTTTTCCATCTTTGCTTGATTTCCTCATCTTTTACCAGTACACTTTTAATCTTCCTTTTTAGTGCATCTAACATGGTTTAAATCTCTGCCTATCCTTTCTCTCATCTTTGCTAGTTTATAGATTCCTTTTTTCTCCCACCTTAGTGCCTAATTCATGAATTACAAGGATCCAACTATTTACTAGTGATCCTGCTTCTTGATTCTGATGTCTCAACAACGATGCTCTTACCATGTTTTATTGTAGCCATTCTACAATTATTTGTGAGTCCCCTTGACAAAAAATTTTAAATTAAGGTGGGGAGTGGTGTGTAGAAGTAAGAAGTTTGGAGGATTAGGTATCAGTAATATTCAGAAGAGGAACATTGCTTTGTCGGAGAAATGGCTGTGGAGATTACCTCTTCACATGGATAAGTTATGGACAAAGGTGGTTATTAGTATTCATGGGCTTGCGGCTGATGGCTGGGACTCTAGAACTTCAGCTAGGGCTACAAGAGCTTCTCCTTAGAAGTTCATTTGTGATATTCTTCCACTTTTCGTACCTTTTATCAGATATAGTTCCGGGTCTGGTTCTCTTGTTAAGTTTTGGGATCATATGGGTAGTCAATTCTCCTATCAAAACACAATTTCCCTTGCTCTATGCCATTTCCAACCATAAGGAAGAACCCATTTCTACTTTTCTGGTCCCATCTAACTCAAATATTGGGTTTGGTTGGGATTTGAGGTTTAGAAGGAGACTGTGTGACGAGAACCCAGAAGCTGGTCCAAACCCAGCCCGCTATGCCAATGAACCACAACCACCAATCACGATGGTGTATAAACGGAAAAGGAAACCCCGCCCAGCACCAGAGCAGCTCAAAGCCACTTCATTCACCATGCCTAACACACGATCAGCCTCTGTAGACGATCGGATGGATCGCCTGGAAATCGACATGCACCAGGTGACGGCAGAACTGAAGGACTTGAAGGTGCTGTCCATGGTAGCTTCCCAGCAACGGGAGAAGTCAGTGGCGGCGAGCAGGGATAATGAACTAGAGGAGCCCAGGAGCAATGGAGGAAGACGTCCGGGAACCTACAGGGGAAGATATGCTAAGCTCGACTTTCCGGTGTTTTCTTGAGGAGACCCCATTCCGTGGATTTTCAAGGCGGAATAGTACTTCGAGTATCATGAGGCCCCTGGTCATCAACGGGTGACTGTCGCCTCCTTCCATCTCGATGGCGACACCATCCTCTGGTTCCATTGGTTCCGGAGACCGCACCCACAAATATCATGGCAAGACTTCACCGATGCTCTCTGTGTACAATTCGGACCGACAACCTACGATGACTGGGATGAGGTTCTTTCGAAGCTGAAATAAACGAGAACGGTTCGGGAGTACCAAGTCGAATTTGAGAGGCTCGCGACCCATGTCGACGGCTGGATGGAGAAGGCGTTGGTCGGTAGCTTCATCGGAGAACTCAAAGAAGATATCAGGGTGGAAGTTAAAGCATGCAGACCTTCGACCTTACTGGCAGCAGTCGGGTTAGCCCGTCTTCAGGAAGAACGCCTGGACCGGTCCAGGAGAGTAAACTGGGCCACTGGACCGATTCTTAAGCCTCCGCCCCCCAAGTCAGATGGGCTTTTGCCCCGGCCCAATAACGGGTCAGACACAGTGATCTCCCAACAGCCCAAAATGCCTTTCCGGCGCTTGTCCTGGGCTGAAATGCAGGCCTAGCGGGAGAAGGGTTTGTGTTATAATTGCGAGGAAAAATTTGGCCCAAGCCATCGAGGTAAAGCCCAGTAGGTGTTCCTCTTGCAAACGGAAGACTCCAAAATAGAAATGGAGGTTCCCGCCCCTGGCGAAGAGGAAGCCGTGATCCCTAAAACAGAACCGGAGATTTCTCTCAATGCATTAAATGGTTCGGCATCTACAGGGGTTATGAAGGTTACAGAACAACTTTGGGGGCATCCGGTGACTGTTTTGATAGACAGCAGCAGCACCCTCATCTTTGCGGCTCGGATTCTGGCCCAACAACTAGGTATGGTTGTCCATTATTATCCTTCCTTTCCTGTTCATGTTGCGGACGAAAACAAAATAGTATGTGATGGTATCTGTAGAAATGAGAAGTTGCTCATTCGGGGCCATCAATTTACTATGGACCTCCAATCCCTAGAATTTAGTGGGGCGGATGTTGTGCTAGGGGTTCAATGGTTGCGCCAATTAGGCCCAGTAAGGTGTAACTGGGCCCAAATGACCATGGATTTTGAGTTAGGAGGAACCCCCTACCATCTACAAGGCTTGGGACCCCCGACCCTTAAACCTGGTGATGCCTGAACCCTCTTAAATCCCTAGGCCCAACTCTCAGCCTAGACCCAAATCAGCAACTCAACAATCAAGATGTGGCCCGCTTGCAAGACCTTCTGAACCATTACATGGATGTGTTTGGGGAACCTGATCATTTACCCCCCGCCCGAGCTCAAGACCACCGTATACCCTTACTACCAAGGGTAACACCCACTAATGTGCGCCCCTACCGTTACTCCT